TGATACTAGTAACGCCACATGCCCAAAATTTGACGAGTGCCTGATTCCACAGCGTCACGACACATAAAGGAGGAGGGCTTTCGACCCTGCCTGTCAGGACCAACACGGGCTGAGAAGGATACAACACCCAAGCAGACTAACTGTAGGACCAAGATACTCGATAAAAATTATCTCCATTCAGGAATCCAAATGGGGTCTTCTGCATGCGAGGGCAAAGCACCTGGCCACTACACCACAGACGCCAGTAGAGCCTAAGTTAATTTGTTAAAAAAATTCACCTTATGCGTCTTTGAGCTATACTGAGTTATGAGTTGACGTGCGAGCGTACTCATGAATAAAACTAAAATGAAAAATGAGCAGTGAGAATGTGGGAGGGGTACATACATAACAAAACGGATAATTTTAAAATAAACTTAACCATACACATATCCTTTCATAGATATTGGTAAATCTAAAAAGCTACTGTGAGCTAACAGAAATTTGAAATTTAAATGAACATCAGCTTTTAGTACAATAGTCTAATTAGAAACGACAGCTCCACTCCATTTTGAATGACATATGAACCAGACAAGTTGAAATTTTCATCCTCTTGTTGACTCATGGCCAGCACTGAATGTTTCAGAAAATCAAAGAGACAAACTCACTATGTCATCAGGCACTCGTGTCCTTCGGTCTCCACCTTGGGCCCAGCTCCTGGCTTTGGACACTTGAAATCTAAGTTACAGGAAGAAAAAGTACATTGTTGGGTAAGAAAAAAGAACTATCTGCCAAAAAGGTCTAGAAAGTTTGAGGCCGTGTTTCTTATTTTCTACTTTTTAGTGGGGTCAATGTCTTTTATAAGATTTCAAACAGAAAACCCCCCCAAACAAACAGATGGGATGGGGGAAGATTTTTGAAAATTTTGAAAACTGACAACCTCCAAATTTACTATGAGAAAATATCCTAAAAAGTTTTTTTATTTTCTACGCTGCTTCAAGAAAGTCCAAGAAGAAAGATAAGTCATGTATTATACGCTTTATAATGACAAATTATAACCAACTAGATACAGTGCAACCATATGTGAAGCAGCGTGGTGAAATCAGGCGCTCGTCAAAATAATGAAAATTTTAAACTGAAATTTTTCTGCAGGTTTGGGAATTATTATCCAATTTTTGTTGTTTTGGCTCAAAACCTTTCATTTCCAAATAAAAGAACACATTTCTGTGTGGATTTTACAGAAAAAAGTTGATTAAAAGCTTAAAAGATGTACATTTTCAGTTTCCACAGACTCTCAAGCTAAGGGAATAACTCAACTTTGAGGGCCATTTTCTCGCTAATTTTACCTCTGAAACCAG